TACCTGTGTAGTTTTGGTCAGTTGTACCTGTAGTTTTAGTAACTTTGTACCTGTGTAGTTTTAGTAACTTTGTACCTGTGTAGTTTTAGTAACTTTGTACCTGTGTAGTTTTAGTAACTTTGTACCTGTGTAGTTTTAGTAACTTTAGTAGGACTTTTTGTGGGTCACGGTGTTGATTGTGTTGAATTTGTAACTCATTGTTCTTTAAAGAATCCTGGGAGCAACAAGAAGGAGGAGTTAGAGGTCTACATGTTTTATAAACCTGACAGCAGATAATAATAATCATACATCTGTGAGACTTCATGACCATAATTACAGAGTGAATCAGTATCAAAGCAGTGATTCTTTTTAAAAACTGTGAAAATATTCAGGATTCAGCTGATCTGTTTCACAACAGGTTGTCAGTCTGAAAAACAAGTTTCAAACAGGTTTCGACTGAAGCAGCTGACATTAATCTGTCCAGACTCGCTGCCTGTAAACCTGAAAACAATAGCTGACAGTAGAACTGAGTAACAACAAATACAAAAACACTGAGTAATAACACAAAGTAACAGAGTTATTACACAATGACCCTTTTTCATTGGAAATCTGTTGAAACATAAGACTGAACCTCTGATCAGAACCTCTGATCAGAATCTCTGATCAGAACCTCTGATCAGAACCTCTCAGTACTTTCAGGTCATTAAGGCTCCATCTTGTTTGTTTTCATCTTGTTTATTCTTTCTTTGACTTCTTCAATAATTTCCTGTTTGATTTTAAATAACTTGAATTCAGTAATTCTATGATTATCTTATTTAAATCTATGTTTTATTGTGTTTTAACAACAAAAGAATTTAATCAGTGGTAAAATAATCTAATTAGAAACCATGAGTTATGAAACCATTTGAAGTCAACAGTATAGTCCAAGAGATCGACCATGTTTATCTGCATGAAAAGTACCAGCAATTTGATGATACTCCATTAAAGTACATCCTTTCCAGGTATAAAAAACCAATTTCTTACTAAAGTTCTCCCAAACACAAGGTCAGAATTTAAGATTAATGCTAAAATCATGGCTTTGACTATGTCTAAATAATATCTGACCATCATCACCAGATCTTTTGCTTCAGATCTGAGTTTTGGTACCAAAATGTTGAAAACTGATAGCTTGGCTAAATCCAGGTAACTAATATTGAACTTGTGAATCTATCAGAGGTGATTGCTGTAAGACTGCGAGGGAAGCTCAGCTTCTCCTAAAATGTAACATGTGAGTGGGAAGCAGTTGGGATGAGGATCAGTACCTCCAGGTTTGACATGGTCCTCAGTCAGGAAAGGGTGGATCGCTCTCTCCAGGTCAGGGGTGAAGTTCTGCCTCAACTGGAGGAGTTTAACTATCTTGGGGTCTTGCTCATGGGTGAGGGAAGATTGGACCAGCTTCCACAGTTCTGCAGATTCTGAACCTGTCTGTTGTGGTGAAGAGGGCAAACCTCCCTSTTCACTGGTCAGTGTACGGTCCTGTCCTTTGGGTTTGGGTGAACTTTGGCTTKTTAAGTTGTTCAGGAGACTCAGTGGAGCTGCTGCTCCTGAACATCAAGAGGTGCCAGTTGAGGTGATTTGGACATTGGATGGTAAATACTGTAGTAAATGGACTGTACTTATATACTGTAGCACCTTTCTACCCAACCAGGATATTCAAAGTGTTTTACACCATAATGTGTGCCCTCATTCAGCCACACAGCKCTCCTGTCAGGCTCTACAACACCATCKMGTATAAATCATCCCAAGGAAACAAACAGCTTTAAATCACATCCATACACTGATGGGACACACGTCACAGGTAGGTCAGGAGGGTAATACAATGTTAGAAATATGACACATATATCAATCATTTAAAGGGTTGGCATCATTTGTTTGCTTCTAGAAAGAAAAAAAAGATGACATTGTACGTCTTATCTTATGTTTTATGATTAGTAGAGTATCTGAAGGTATTTTTGGTGCAGCTTGGTGCCAGTTTAGGAAATACTGACAGAACAGTTGGGGTAAGTGCATGACCAAATTAAAAAAAAATAAAGGTTCAAGTTTTAACTCTTTTTGGTCCTTTTTGTGGATGCCAGCTGTAAAAAATGGCTTCATAAGTTCAATATTAATTACCTGGATTTAGTTAAGCAAAAAGATTTAACATTTTGGTACCAAAACTCAGATCTGAAGCAGAAGATCTGGTGATGATGGTCAGATATTATACAGACATACAGTCAAAGCCATGATTTTAACATTAATCTTGAATTCTGACTTTGTGTTTGGGAGAAATTTTGTAAGAAATGTTTTTTTTTTGTACCTGTAAGGGACGTAGTTTAATGGAGTACCATCAAAATTACTGGTACTTTTTATGCAGATAAACACGGTCTGTCTCTTGGACTATTAACAAAATAAAATAAATATATTTTCAATAAGAGCAGGTGAATATTTCTGTCAAACATAACGGAGTAAAACTGACAAAATAAAAACAGGAAAAGATTTATTTGAAATGTAAAACTTTGCCTTAGATAAGATCAAATAAACTTCATAAATAATTTGTGTAAATGTTGGACTCACTTCAGGTGTTTGGTGGTCCTGTGTGGGTCCTCCATGTCTCCGCTGGTCTTCGTTGGTCTCTGTGTGTAAAACAGAACCCCAGTTCTCCAGAACCTTCCTGTTTTTACCGTTCCTCCACCCAGCTCCATATAAAAGCCACTTCTTTGACATTTAAACCTCTGGGGAGCAGAAACACCCATATTTCTCTGGTTGGGTGTCAGCTCAGCACAATAAGTGTCCCAGGTCCTGAGGCACCGTTTGTCTTATTTACTGTAACAGAGACCAAGTCCAGGACAAAGACTGAAGGTCCTCTGCTCATTTCAGCAGCTTTCTGTTGTTGTTCCTGAAGATTTGTTACCAAGTTAAACAAAGACCAGAATGGCTCCAGAGGCTCTCTGACTGAGTGAAGCTTCTAATAATTCAAATAATCTAAAAACTCTAATAAGACTAAATCTGTTCAGTTTATTTATAAAAACCAAACCACAACAAACCTGGTGTCAGGTCTCTGCACACAAAAACTACCAGTGTAAAGCAGCAGATTGTGTTGAATCACTTCATCACAGTCTCCATCCTGAGCAAACGGTGGAGAGGAAAAACTCCCTGCTAATCAGGAAGAAACCTCCAGCAGAACCAGGCTCAGGACAGGAGACCATCTGCCTCGACCYGCTGSTTGGAGGACAGGAAAGAGACACAGACAAACACAGAAGAACTGGTCCAGGACTGGTCCAGGTGCACCTTCTTCTGGAAGAGACAAAGAAAAAACATGATAGAAATAATAAGAATAAACATGTAGAGAAGAGAGACTAAAGACAACAGCAGAGTGAGGAAATGTGCTCAGTTTGTGCTCCAGCAGTCTAAGTCTATAGCAGCAGAAATGAAGAAGAATTCAGGAAACCTCAGTCTAACTATAGGATTTKTGAAAAAGGAAAGTCTTCAGTCTGATCTTAAAGTAGGAATCAGTTTTTGGACCCAGATAATAAAGAGACACAGACAAACACCTGCATCAGTTTCTCTGCATCATTCCTGGACCAGATGTAACAAAGTGTTCCTGTGGGCCCACCACCTGGAGGAGGGGCCACATGAGTCAGGCGCAGCAGCCTTGGTGCTCTGATCCTGGTCCACCACAGCTCGCTTTGGACCTGGACCGTCCCCTCTCTGGTGAAGGAGCCTTTCTGATCTGAACCTGACGGGTTCTGTTGTTGGACGTCTGTGCTCATGGTCTGTCCCTCACAGACACCAGGGTCCAACATGGGGGTGTCCAGAAGTGCACGTGGCTCCAGGACACCCTGGGTCATGGATCCTTCTGACCTGTGGGCAGAACCTGTGGACAGAACCTGTGAACAGAACAGAACCTGTGGACAGAACCTGTGAACAGAACAGAACCTGTGGACAGAACCTGTGGACAGAACCTGTGGACAGAACCTTCCCTCTGAGAGGCAACAGCTCCACCAGCTGAGCCACATCCTCAACACAACTTCCTGTTTGCTGCAGCAACAAACCAAACTGTCCAGGTGTTTCCAGGTGTTTCCAGGTGTTTCCAGGTGTTTCCAGGTGTTCCCAGGTGTTCCCAGGTGTTTCCAGGTGTTTCCAGGTGTTTCCAGGTGTTCCCAGGTGTTTCTAAGCCTCCTGAAAGAACTGAGCTCTGCTGTTATCAGCACACATCAGCCTGAGGCAGTGCAGAGTGTGACTCACACACCTGAACATAGTTTCCCAGCCTTCAGTTTCAGTCTTCCTCCATGATGATGATGATGATGATGATGATGATGATGATGATGATGATGATGATGATGATGATGGTTTTGTTTCATAGAGAGCGAAACAAACAGGTTGGAACAAACAAATAAAGTTTCAACTTTGTTTCAGTTTAGTTTCAAACTAAAATGATTTTTCAGGAAAAGTTTGAGACAAAATAAAATAAATGTTTAAAAGTTTTCATGTCTGTAAAGTTGGAACTGTCAGTTCACCTGCTGAACAAGTCTTTTAACAATAATGATGTAATTAATAATGTATTTTATAATAAACACATAAAGTATTTTATAATAATAAACACATAAATAAAGTATTTATAATAATAAACACATAAATAAAGTATTTTATAATAAACATAAATAAAGTATTTATAATAATAAAAATAAATAAAGTATATTATAATAATAAAACACATAAATAAAGTATATTATAATAATAAAACACATAAATAAAGTATATTATAATAATAAAACACATAAATAAAGTATATTATAATAATAAAACACCACGGTTCTTGTTAAAAGGAGACAGAAAGTCAGTTTCCGGGTTGAGCAGAGAGAAACTGAAGAGGAAAAAAAAAACACCGAAACGAGACAAATATGGTCACACCGGAAACAGGTGCGTRCTCCTGCCGCTCATGTAAACGATGATGACGTCACCGCGGCTCGTTTTATAAACCCACCTGTTGGAGTTCTGTTCAGTTGCAGCAGAACCTTCGGACCGTGGGTTCATCAGAACCGGACCTCACATCGGGACGTGCTCGTGGTGTTTGTGTGCGCGTGACAAACAGGTTGCACCTGGACACACCTGAGAGCAGAACAAGGAAGTGCTGTTGTTGTTTTTTTTTTTTTCACTCCTCTGAGCTCTGAGGACGGTCGGTTCGACCCACACCGAACAGAACCTTTTGTTTTTGACCGGATCCAGGATGAAGCTCGTGGTTTTCGTGTTCCTGGCAGGTCTCGCGGGCCTGGCTGCTGCTCAGTGTAAGTTTCATTTATTGGTTTGATTTCTGACATCAAACGGTTCGGTTCGGCTCGGCGGGTAAAGTTTTGTTGAAGAGTTTCTGTCGATGAAAGCTGGTGAGGAGCTGCTGGCTCAGGTGGGGGTGGGGAGGCCTGCTGAACCAACGCCCAGGTGTTGGACTCACCTGTGGGAACAGGAAGTGAGCTGTGGACCTGTTCCTCTCAACAGTTTTTACTGAGTCCTTTAGTTTGACTTGTTCATGATTGGTCTGTTTTTGGACCGGGCCTGCAGAGGTTCTGTAAAACCTTCTTGTTTGTCCAGGTACCTGTCCGACCATGAAGTGGGCCCGCTGTGAATCTGGTCCCACCGGGTCGTGTGCCTGCTCCGTTYCAGTTGATTCCAATTCTTCACTTGTTCTGGACTGCACCAAGCGTAAGTGTTCTGGTTCTGATGGTTCTGGATTGTGGACCTGACTGTTGACTGAATACCTGTGCCCCTCCCCCGCAGTGATCCCGAAGTGCTTCCTGATGAAGGCTGAGATGTACCGGGCTCGGAACAACCTGGGCACCCGCTCCATCGGGGGGAAACCCGTGGAGACGGCGTTCGTGGACAACGACGGGATCTACGACCCGATCTGTGAGAACAATGGAAAGTTCAAGGCCCGGCAGAACAACGGAACCCAGGAGTACTGGTGCGTGAACAGCGCCGGGGTCCGCAGGACCGACAAGGGGGACTCGAGCCTGAAGTGTGACGAGTTGGTGGAGACTTAGTAAGTACCGGTGGTGGTTCTGGACCGGCTGCAGGTCAAAGGTTCTGCTTCTGAAACGTCCTCTTGTCCCTGCAGCTGGATTCGTCTTCAGCTGACCCACAAAGCCGTGAACACGAAGGTGGACGAGGCCTCGCTCAAAACGTAAGTGTCTGTTTTTAACTTCCTGTGACGTGTCGACCTGTGGCTGAACTTCCTGTTGTCCAACAGCGCCATCGGTACCGCCATCCAGCAACGCTACAGCTTCYACAAGAACCTGGTGCAGGACATCAAGGTAAGGACTGTTTGAGTCCGGCGTCCTCGGAAACAAACCTCAGACTAACAGGTCCGGTTGTTTTCAGTACGACCCCGATGCCAGGCTGATCGTGGTGGACGTGAAGAAACCAGAGACGGATACGACCACCAACCTGGCCAACATGGCCTACTACATGGAGAAAGATGTAGGTTGTGGACCTGATGGACGGACGGCGGTTCTTTAGACGTCCTCTTTAATGGACATGTCCTCGTCTCTTCCAGATCAAAGTCCTGCCCCTGTTCCTGAACCAGGAGACCTTTTCTCCCCAAATCAGCGGTCAGAACCTAACCATGGAGAAGATCCTGGTGTACTACGTGGACGCCAAGCCCCCCACCTTCACCATGAGGTACCTGTCAGGTGGAATCATCGCCGTCATCGTGGTGGTGGTGCTGGCCGTGGTCATCGGCCTGCTGGCCCTGGTGAGGACACGCCTCAGTCGGACTCATGAAAACGACTCTAAGAGTTCTAATCAAAGGTTTTTTTTGTGTTTTAGTTCCTTTACGGCCGCCGCCGGAGGCAGAGATACAGCAAAACTCAAGTAAGCAGACTTCCTGTATGTGTTCAGGGGGCGGGGCCTGAAGGCCTGTTGGAACAGGTCTGATGTTGAACTCTTTCTTCTCGTCTTGTAGCAGAGAGAAATGGAGCAGATGTAAGAGGCGTCGTGGAAGGAAAGACCATCTTTGTTTTGGAGGGAAGAACGGTGGATGTTGTCTCTGTTTTTAATTTATAGACGTTTCCTCCATCCTGTATATTCTCTGTTCCTCATGTGAAACATTTAGAAACTCTAAAATCATCTTTGTACATTTTTAATAAAGTTTTTGTTTTTAGACTTCCTGTTTAAGACTTTTGTTTTTAAAGCTTCAGGACTTTGAGGGTTTCAGCATCTGGATCACATTCAGCTCCTTTAGTCGGATCAGAACCGGTTCTGTTTGTGAAGCTGGTTTGGGTCCGTTTTTAGGGCGTGGCCTCTGGCTTTAGTTAGATGAAACTTCCTGAGTGACTCAGTTCTGCAGAAGTTTCTGGACAGAACCGGTCCGGTGGGTCCGTCTGCAAACAAACAAGCTGTTCAGTTTGGGGGGAGGATCCTCAGTCCAGATGACTCGCTTTGTGGTTCTGGACCTTTGTGGTTCTGAACATGTTTTAGGGAATAAAACTTTTCTTGCATCAAACCTTTGATCAAAGGTTCTTTGTTTGTCTCACCTGTTCACCCCGCCCTCTGTCTCCATGGCAACAAACAGGTCTAACCAGTTCAGACCGGTTGGTGTCAGGTGTCTCCCTCCCCATCTGAGGACTGAAGGTGTGCCCAGGGCCAGAGGGCACCTGCTGCTGGTATCAACACGTCAGAACCTCCAGGGTTCTGGCAGTATTATGGGATGTTCTGGCAGTATTATGGGATGTTCTGGCAGTATTATGGGATGTTCTGGCAGTATTATGGGATGTTCTGACAGTATTATGGGATGTTCTGACAGTATTATGGGATGTTGGGTTCTGACAGTATTATGGGATGTTCTGACAGTATTATGGGATGTAGGGTTCTGACAGTATTATGGGATGTTCTGGCAGTATTATGGGATGTTGGGTTCTGACAGTATTATGGGATGTTCTGACAGTATTATGGGATGTTGGGCAGTATTATGGGATGTTGGGTTCTGACAGTATTATGGGATGTAGGACAGTATTATGGGATGTTCTGACAGTATTATGGGATGTTCTGACAGTATTATGGGATGTTGGGTTCTGACAGTATTATGGGATGCATGTTGAACTTGTTCAAACTCTTGCCACAGACAGATGAAATGAAAACCTTTAATCTGGGCCTCAGGGAGGGGAGGGAAGTGATTTGCCTGTGAGTTCAGAGACAAAATGACCTCCATGAGACGTCACAGCTGACTTCCTCTCGCTCTGAACCCACTTCCTGTTTCCAGGCTGCAGGCACCTGAGTCCACTTTCAGAGAAAAGGATTAAAGGTTTATCACCTGGTTGTTCAGTAACTAACTGATTTCTACAAGCAGCTCGTCTGAACTCTTCTATTATGGGATGTTTGAATCAGCAGCCTGTCAGGACCGGTCTGTGGGAGGAAGAGCTTTAACTTTTCTGCTCCAACACAAAACATTAACCTCAGCGTCTGGACTGAAGCTGCTTCTACAGATTATTGGTTCAATCAGCAGCTGAAGCAGATTAAATCAATACTTTATTAATCCCAGAGCACCTGTTCACAAGACAGAACATAAACACAGAACAGGTGCAGCCATAGACCCTGCAGGGACCACCATGAGGAGACATTTACCCTTAAACATGTCTGAAGGAAGGACATTCACTTTATGTCTGGACCAAAACCTTCACAATAAAGTTACACAACATAAGTTTCAGAATAAAGTTCAACTAAAGTTAAAAAAAAATAAGTTTCAGAATAAAGTTAAACCAAAGTTACAGGAGATAAAAAGTTTCAGAATAAAGTTACCAAAAATAAAAACTTTCAGAATAAAGTTACCGAAAACAAAAAGTTTCAGAATAAAGTTTAAATAAAGTTACAGAAATTAAACGAGGCAGTGGCCGTCTGTTGAATGAACATACTGTAWGTACAATTACTTAGATTATAAAAACAATAATTCAAACAATTACTCTTGACTACTATGTGTGTATTTCTGTCTATATTGTATGTCTGTGAGTAGTATTGTGTATATTTATACAGAGGGCTGTGAAGGTTTGAGCAGCTTTGTTAATGTTCCTGATTTACTTTATAAATCATTGTTTGGATTAAAAACATCAGTTAAATATATCATATAGAGGACAAACACAGTGATATTTGAGAAG